TGCGGATTCGGTCACATCTACTAACGAACCGATTTTCGCGGTCTGCGCAATCGAAGGACGTTAGAACTTGGCTATACCTTTGCTTAGACAAGCGTATCGGAGATTCAGCGCACCTCAAAGGAGATATGTTCGTTTCCGAGTCTGATCTCGAGCTCTTGCCGTCCGTCCTTGTTCTTCTGTGGCCATTTTGAATCGTCCTCCCTAAGCTGTATTAGCAAAGACCACGATTCCTTGCATGTCTACTGCCAATGTAACTCGCATACTTCATGATCTCGCTCTCTTTGATAATGCGCTTGACCTCCTGAATCATCGCCGAGCTCACGCACACTGCAAATCTCATAAGCACGTAACCTAAGGACCCGACCACGAATCCTAGCACTCACTTTCTTTGCGGATCAGGGAGTCATTGCGATAGTTCGAGTTGTTCGCATACCGAACCGCGGCACTTCGGCCGTCGCCAAGGGTCCGAAAATCGAATTCTACAAGCCGTTAGTCAGTGCAAGAGAACAAGAATAACTTCACCGTGCACACTGACCTAGAAACTCATGCCCAAACCGCCCAGAGTGACCTGAGCTGCGGGGCTGTCAGCAGCTGAGGAAATCTGGGCTATAGAGCAAAGGTCTGCCTTACTAGTAGCGGAGATAGAAAGGCTCGTTCTGGTTTGACATCTTGAAAACGTTTCAGAGCAAATATGTCGGGACTGACGATTGAAAGCAAGATCGCATCAGTCGAAGGCGGCCTTGTGCTTGGAGTGCCTTGGTTTACAGGTTGGCCCGGGCGGAGCTTAGTCATCCACACAGTCCGGACAGCTTGCTCCGCCGCGCAAATGGACAAGTTGATACTCAAGCCCCGGATTGCCAAACAATCGCACTGATGAATGCAAGGCAGGTGAGGGGAGATTAATTAAGTCAATTAACATCTACCATCCTACTCACGTGTTTGCGGGAGAGTGATCTTGGTATTTTTCCCCGTCCCTCTTTAATGCTAAAACAACAACTTGTACTGATCAACTCCCAAGCTCTCCTCCCTCCTTATCCTCCCACACCCCGTTACGGCCGTCTGCCTCTATATTCCCAGGCATCATGGCATCATATCTGGAAAATGCTTACAGCTTGGTCCATTTGGACAATACTGCTGATCAGCCCACTGTACAGGAGCTGAAATTGCAACTGGAGAAGGGCAATGATGAGACGAAGGTGGAAACAATGAGGCGGATCATCACAATCATGCTGAATGGCGACCCGATGTCCCAACTCCTCATGCACATCATTCGCTTTGTCATGCCGTCGAAGAGCAAGCCTCTGAAGAAGTTACTCTACTTCTACTACGAAATCTGCCCGAAGCACGACGCCAATGGGAAACTCAAACAGGAGATGATCTTGGTGTGGTAAGGATACAGACTAGCACGCTTTTGGCTTTCCTACCAGTCTAATCAAACCATTTCTGCGCAGCAATGGTATTCGCAATGACCTTCAGCATCCCAATGAGTATATTCGAGGCAACACTCTCCGCTTTCTATGTAAGCTCCGTGAACCGGAGCTCATCGAACCCCTCCTCTCGTCCGCACGCTCATGCCTTGAACATCGCCACGCATATGTGAGGAAAAATGCAGTTTGGGCCGTCGCTTCCATTTTCCAACACTCCGAGTCTCTAATCCCGGACGCCCCAGAGCTGATTCAAACATTCCTCGAGTCGGAGACTGATAGTACTTGCAAGCGCAATGCTTTCGCTGCTCTGATGTCCATCAGCCACCAGAAGGCTCTCGAATACCTGGCCACCACTTTTGACGGCATTCCAAATACAGATGAACTACTTCAATTGGCGGAGCTCGAGTTCATCAGGAAGGATGCGGTGCAGAACACTCAGAACAAGGTGGGTCGGTTGTCAACCATGCATCATATGCGACGCTAAGATATAAAAGGGAAAATACTTGCGTCTCATCTTTGATCTACTAGAGGCGTCGACAAGTACAGTGGTTTACGAAGCGGCAACGTCGCTCACGGCTCTTACCAGTAACCCAGTGGCCGTAAAGGCTGCGGCAGGCAAATTGATCGAGCTCTGCATCAAAGAAGCCGACAACAATGTCAAGCTCATTGTACTCGACAGAGTCGACCAGCTTAGAAGTCGCAATGAGGGCGTTTTGGATGATCTTACCATGGAAATTCTTCGTGTTCTCTCCAGCCCTGACATTGATGTTCGGCGCAAAGCCCTCGGTATCGCCTTGGAAATGGTCTCGAGCAAGAATGTTGAAGAGGTCGTCATGCTTCTGAAGAAGGAACTAGGCAAGACAGTAGATGAGCAGTACGAGAAGGTAAGGATATACTTTGATCTGCGGCAAGGATCGGATACTGACAACGTACACAGAACAGCGAATATCGTCAGCTCTTGATCCAGTCGATACACCATTGCGCCATCAAGTTCTCCGAGATTGCTGCTAGCGTCGTCGACCTCCTGATGGATTTCATTGCGGACTTCAACAATAACTCAGCTGTTGATGTGATCTCATTTGTGAAGGAAGTCGTGGAAAAATTCCCTACACTTCGTGCTTCTATCGTCGACCGCCTCGTTTCTACTTTAAGCGAAGTCCGTGCTGGAAAGGTCTATCGTGGTGTACTGTGGGTTGTCGGAGAGTATTCCCTGGAGGAGAAAGACATCCGTGAGGCCTGGAAGCGAATCCGGGCAAGCCTTGGAGAGATCCCCATTTTGGCTTCTGAACAGCGACTCCTTGACGAGGTGCCCGATGAGACTGCACTCAAAGAGCAAGTTAACGGCCATACCAAGCCTTCAGCTCCGACTGGTTCTCGAAAGGTGCTGGCCGATGGCACGTATGCGACTGAGAGTGCTTTGACTAGCGAGTCCGCTGCTGCCGCCAGACTTGAGGCAGTCAAGGCTGCTCAAAAGCCTCCTCTTCGTCAGTTGATCCTCGACGGTGACTACTACCTAGCAACCGTTCTCTCCTCGACATTAACGAAACTTGTAATGCGCCACTCGGAAGTCTCGCAGGATGTCGCTCGGACGAACGCACTACGCGCCGAAGCGATGTTGATCATGATCTCTATTATCCGCGTCGGACAGTCTCAGTTTGTCAAGGCTCCCATTGACGAAGATTCTGTTGATCGTATCATGTGCTGCGTGCGCTCTCTCAGTGAGTTCTCTCAAAGAAAGGAGCTGGAGACTACCTTCCTGGAAGACACGCGTAAAGCATTCCGTGATATGGTACAGGTGGAAGATAAGAAGCGTGCTGCCAAGGAAGCCGTTGAGAAGGCCAAGACTGCTGTTCAGGTTGACGATGCGATTCCCATCCGGCAATTCACTAAGAAGTCTGGTCTTGAGGGTGCCGAAGAAATGGAACTCGACCTGGCCAAGGCTACCGGCGGCGATTCGACCGTGGAGACTGTGTCATCGAAATTGAGCCGGGTTGTGCAGCTCACCGGCTTCTCGGATCCAGTCTACGCCGAGGCCTATGTCACCGTCCATCAATTTGACATCGTTCTCGATGTGCTCCTTGTCAACCAGACTCTCGAGACCTTGCAAAACCTATCTGTTGAATTTGCCACTCTTGGTGATCTGAAGGTAGTTGAGCGACCGACCACGCACAACCTCGGACCTCGTGACTTTTTGAATGTACAGGCTACAGTCAAGGTGTCATCCACGGATACGGGTGTCATCTTCGGCAACATTGTATATGATGGAGCGAGCTCGACGGAAACCCATGTTGTCATTCTTAATGATATCCATGCAGATATCATGGATTACATCCAACCCGCTCAGTGCACCGAGACTCAATTCCGGACCATGTGGACCGAGTTCGAGTGGGAGAACAAGGTCAACATCAACTCCAAGGCGAAGAGCCTTCGCGAGTTCCTCAAACAGCTCATGGAGAGCACCAACATGGCCTGCCTGACTCCAGAAGCTTCGCTCAAGGGAGATTGCCGGTTCCTGAGCGCCAATTTGTATGCCCGAAGCGTATTTGGTAAGTACCAATTGTTATCCTACCCTCCTTTTTTTGGATTGACAAACACTGACCTTGGAATTTGTATGCAGGTGAGGACGCTCTTGCAAACCTGAGCATTGAGAAGGAGGGCGAAGATGGTCCGATTACAGGATTCGTACGGATAAGAAGCCGTTCCCAAGGTCTTGCTTTGAGTCTAGGATCGCTGAAGGGCCTGAAGGCTTCGGCGGCATGAAGAGAGAAAGTATGACTTCTTGGTGTCAGCGTTTGATTGATTGTTACCCTATGATTATAGTCACCCGTATTACATGGCTCTTGATTACTCTTTTTTTTTCCTCTTCCTCGGACGAATCTTTTGGCTCTATGCCACTTTTATTTTAACTCTATTGTACCAAATGAGAGAATGGCCTATTCAGATGGAACAACAGAAGAACTCTCCCCAATTCATGAGTGGCCCTCCAGGACTCAGGATGGGTGTCAGTGGGAAAAAGAGCACGGACAACTGAACAACTAACCGATAACGCCGACAATAGTGTGATGTCGGCTGATAAGGATCAGTGGAGACAAGTTTATCAACTTCAGACCACCGACCACAAGCCTGACTGAGAGATTTGGCCTCGGTAGCCTGTGTCAACCATGGAAATCTCTACGTGTCATCATCAATTCGCTGTAGATGTAGGACATTCAAACTGACTGTTACTAGGGAGACTTTTCCTGGTTATTATTTCCGTCTTTCCGAACGCGACTTGACCGGATTAGGCACGATGGACATCCAAGGAAACTGTTCCTGAGGTGGAGAAACTAATCCACCCTGAGATCTCCAATATATTGGGACTAACCTCTTTTCTCCCCATAATATTAAGAATATAATCAGTACCTAGGTCAAAACTGATTACCTCAATCTCGAACATCCTCCTAGAAGTTCTTGCCTTTTTCATTCTTATATTGACTATCAATATTGATTATCATTATTGACTATTGTTATTGTCTTATCTTTTGGTCGTTACTGTATCCTTTTTGGAATGGTCACTTGCTTTCGCAGGTAATAATGGCTTCTCTCGACGGCGCTACTCGCCCTTCCTTCAATGCGGATCAGCCGGATTCCCAATCTAAGATACTCCAGCACGACTCGACCTTGACAGTTGGACAGTCAATTACCTTGACTTTGGGTAGCGATGCGCTTGTTATTGCTGGTGAGCAGTGTCTGACAATCCATGCTTGCAGGGCATGKTTGCACATTTCGCATTCTAACCAGCTTCTCGTACCTGTACAGACGATCGCTCCACGCGAAAACCAGACCGCCGCTGCTGCGGAATCCTGTCAAAGTCAAGTAAGTTTCTCTATTACTTCGCTGCTCTATCTCTTCGACTTTTATTGTGTGTCTCGGGTGTCAAGAGGCACTTGCTGCTCTTGCGATCTGAATCAGGCATAACAAGGGAAATTAATCACCCGCTTGCAAGGACCATGGCTAATGAGGCTGTACAATACAGAGACCAAAGAAACTCAATCTATCGCATTGTACAACATCCTTCATGCAGAAGTTTCCTCTGCAGGTCTGACTATTACATATGCGGACCCTGTAACCAAGCACGATGTTACCGTTGGTGCCTTCCAATACACCATTGCGGACGAAGACAAAGCAAAAGCCGAAGCATTCACAACCAGATTACTTGATCTGGCGTATGGTAATGCCAAGCGCTACAAAAGATTCAAGGTCCTGATCAACCCGTTTGGTGGGAAGGGTATTGCCTCGCGATTGTATCATCAATACGCGGCGCCGATCCTTGCTGCTGCGCATTGCGCAGTTGAAGTAGAAGAGACAACGCATGGGGGACACGCCACCGAGATAGCAGAACAAATTGACATAGACGCATACGATGCAATTGTATGCTGCTCCGGTGATGGATTGCCCTACGAGGTCTTCAATGGTCTGGCCAAGAAACCTAATGCTCGCGAGGCGTTATCGAAGCTCGCTGTCGCCATGATACCTGGTGGTTCGGGGAACGCCATGGCTTGGAACCTTTGCGGAACAGGTAGTGTCTCTATTGCTGCGCTGGCGATTGTCAAAGGAGTAAGAACTCCCATGGATCTGGTCTCCATCACGCAGGGCAAAACTCGAACCCTATCCTTCCTGTCGCAATCTTTCGGTATCATCGCAGAATCCGACTTAGGAACTGATAATATCCGGTGGATGGGTGCCCACCGCTTCACCTACGGTTTCTTGGTCCGTCTCATGCAGCGCACAGTGTGGCCATGTGACCTAGCCGTGAAAGTTGAGATCGATGACAAGAACGCGATAAAAGAGCATTACAGAAGGTACGCGGCCGGAGAACCTTCCCGCCGCCCGTCTGAAAACACCGTCGCCGGATTGGGAGGGCTCCCCGACTTGAAGTACGGCACTGTCTTGGATGAGCTCCCACAGGACTGGGAAGTCGTCCCGGGTGAGAACATGGGCAATTTCTACGCGGGCAATATGGCTATTATGTCCGCAGACACGAACTTCTTTCCGGCCTCTCTGCCGAATGACGGTCTGATTGATGTTGTCACGATTGATGGAAACGTCAGCCGCCTCACATCGCTCAAAATGATGACGGAGATCCCTGAGGGAGGATTTTTTGATATGCCGGATGTTAAGATTCGTAAGGCTTCGGCATATCGACTTACTCCCCGTGAGAAAGAAGGCTACATCAGTGTCGACGGTGAACGTATACCGTTTGAGCCGTTCCAAGTCGAAGTTCATCGTGGTCTAGGCACCGTGTTGTCGAAGTCCGGACACCTTTACGAGGCCGAAGGCCCTCGGCCATGATTACGAGTTTTATGGTCGATGTCATCTTCCCTCATTCATTTGCTCGTACACGTATTGTTATTCGCCGGTCTCTGTACCACAAAATGATACCCTCGCGCAAGACTTATACAGTTTTTCTTTTCCCTCTTTTATTGTGATGTGGCTTTGCTACAGGTGATATTCCAGCAAGGTTTGCGGGCGGCGGGCATTGCCATGTATACATAGTGGGCTAGGTCAGACCAGGGGAACTGGTGGATTTTGGCTGTACAAAGATGATATAGATAATAAGAGTCTGCAATACGCCTTGCTCCAAGCAAGGTCAAATGGACATGCAAAGCCATCACTACCATGCGCCAGAGAGACATGCGAAAAGATGAATCTTGTCTTACACCGATCGAGAGCTCAATCGTCGGCGAAGCCACCCCATTCCTGCTCACTATCATCGTCGTCATCATCCTCCTCGACTTCCCTAGTCTTGAATCCCCACTGAACCAATCGGTCGTCGTTTAGGGCTTCTGCCGCCCTTAGTCTCACAGGTCTGAAGGGACTCTCCTTACGCAGCTTCTCAATGGGACGTAGTAGGAGATCCATGGGAACCTGACCCTTGACTTTCCGCGAAGACCCATCTTGTGCCTCCCCCTCCTCGAATTCAAGAACCTTTTCTATCTCATCAATCCAGATATCCAGCAGGTGGTAGCGGAGCCCATCCGGTCCGTGGGGCATAGGCACATAGTTCGGGTTCTTCTCATCGGCAGGAGGCTGATCCGGGTCGAAATTAAGCGGACAGAGAGGCCCTTCCTCGATGATGGTGATGTACGACTCGAGCTCGGCCCAGTCACCCTCGCCATCCTGCCCCTCCTCCGCATCCATCTCGTCACGGGCTTCGTCCTTCTTGTCTGCTTTCGAGCGCTTCTTCTTCCCCGCCGCGGCTTGTTCTTCGCGCTTGCGCTTTTTGCTGGCTCCGTTGGTTCGTGCGGATTGCTGCTGCTCCTGCTTGTTCCCCTTGAGGAACACTTCGAATGCCACGCCTACATAGCAACGGATCAGGTATAGATACTTATCGAGTCGCAAGCGGTCCAACGAGTGGAAGTCCCTGCCGATGGTGATCCAGAATGCGCGCAGGAAGCGGTGACGTGTTTCCCGCGGGAGAGTCGGGACGAGCGTGTAGGAGAGGTTGCGGGCTAGGGCTTGTTGTGTGAGGGGACGGTCTGAGTGGTAGAAGCCTGTGCGGTTGGAGAATGGTTAGTCGACTCAATGTTCCTGGAGTCTGGGTTGGGCGTAAAGGACGTACAGAAGAAGAGGCCTTTCCAGAGCTTGAGGAGGTCGAGGAGGGTGAGGTCAGTTTTGGAGCGGAGGAAGAGGGTCAGGGATTCTGTCGCCTTGTCGCGTGTGCGCTTGTCTGTTCCGAGAGAGGGCTTGTTAGTTAAGGTATTCGGACTGGTAAGGTGAAGCTATACAGCGTTCAGTATTTCCTGGACATACCGCTGGAGGCGAGCTCCTTGACAAAAGGAGCTTTTTGCAGATTGCTCATGGTTAATAATCTATGCTTTTGTTTAATTCATGTAGAAGAAGTAGGAACGGGACCGAGTCGTGTAATGGCAATGGCGTATATTCTTCCTTCCTTTTTTCAATGTCGATGCGGCCTCGACCTTTTTTCATTTTCTTGTCTTTTTTTTGTCTGTGTTTGCTCTGTTTGTTTCCTAAGGTGGGGATTGTTCGGCGGAGATAGACTTGAGTACTCTTATTGGAGGAGCTTATTGCAGGTAGCAAGACGACAGAACCTATTTTGTAGACACCTCAGGTATCAAATGTCGCTAACCATCCTGTACTATGGCGAAACCATCTCGCCCTTCACGTTAATGATGTGTCTGTCGTGAGAAATAAGCATTAAGCACTTGTTTACAACACTTGTGCACAAAAGAAGTACTGGCAATGGAGCTCTTAATGAAAACTGAGACGCAGTGGTGCCCTCTTTTATCAAAACTCTGCACCTACTTAGCTCTGTGGCTACGCTATACTTGAAGTACGCATGCCATTTAACTGAGGCAGCGTTCTTTTCAATTTTTGATTGTGTTCTCATTATATGTCCAGCAACTCTAGGCCCTCCTTTGTTGACACGCGCAGGAAGCCTAGAACATATCTTTGAAACTGCACATTCAAGTTATTAGGAGCCTGATGCTCTATCCAGCCGGAATCTGTTGATCAGACTATACAGGATGCCGGACAGAAAAACCTATGACCAGACCTGTCACAGGAGCGAGTTGAAAGCACTGTGATTGATGATATGTTGCGAGAGCAGAGGGCAGAGCTGGCTCGCATTGCGTCGAACTTTCCCAGGCACCGTCCGATGGATTCTGGAGTCGCTGGCCCGGGCATTGAACGCAAGGACATCCTTGATGGTCTCGAACTCAACGATTCAGTTCTTGGCTCTAAGAGTGACTAGTTCAATAATTATCAATAACGCAGCCGTCGATACCCTGGCAGATTCTGGCCAACGCGTGGGCCTGCTACTACTACCCGACCTCTGGGTCGGACCAGTCGTCCCAACGGCAGGGGCTCATGTTACTCTTCATCGTACAATTCTCGACGTTCGCCTCGATGGTAACCGGCACATTGCCAGGCACTGGAACCGGTGGCACACATTGCAACCCTACTCTTCTTTACGACCTTGACCTTCAACGGCGTCATGCAGCCACCACACGCCCTGCCTGGTTTCTGGATCTTCATGTACAGCTTGTCTCCCTTGACATATTCTAATCGCAGGGATCTCAGCAACAGGACTACATTGCCGGGGAGTCCAATGCACCAGCGCCGAGTTGAGCGTGTTCAACCCACCCGCGGGATCAGCCTGCGGCCGTTATCCCTCTCCGTACGTACAATCTGCCGCCGGCGAGTTGTACAACCCTAGTGCAACGCAGAGCTGCGAGTACTGCCGCTGCAGAATGCGATCAATACCTGAGCAGCTCGAACACCTTTACGCCTTTTCATCCCTTTGATCCTGCGAGTTCATGCTAGCATCCGTATGAACATACTACGGGCGAGAGCTGGCGCAACTCGGGCTTGGGCTTTGCGTACGTCTTCAGCATCTTGAAACTCTCCTACTGTACTACGACTTTTGTGTCAAATATTATAATCCCATGTCCTTAGAGGTATCATCAAGGGCGCTGGTGTCGTATGTCGTGTTTTCAAGCGGAGGTATGGGAAGACACCTAGGGGACGGAGGCGGAGAATAACAGGTGTATTAGACGAGCTGCAGTTTCTCTATATATGACTTATTTGTTCGGACTCTTGCTTGAACCGGGAATCGGTGTACATGTGTAGGTGTAGGTGTATGTTCCACTGGAGATCACTTGTGTCTTTGTGAAGCACTGGGTCATAAGTTCATTTAAGCAAGTAAAATCACAATCTAGCATCATTGGTCTAGTGGTAGAATTCGTCGTTGCCATCGACGAGGCCCGTGTTCGATTCACGGATGATGCATAGAAATCTATCTTTTTGCGTTCTCTACGCACTCACCCCCTGCCATCCTCAATCTTGCTTCCTTTTTTTTTCTMCTTTTTTTGCATTTTCTTTTGGATATATGAAATGAATTATCTATGGCGCATTTTTGCCTGTATCGACCAAAAGACTCACTAAGTTGCGTTCGTGAGCGGAACCCTCAGTGGCACTTGTTTGCTGATATATATATTCTACTACCTCACGTCACGTGTAGCGCATGTTTTTATACCATGACCAGAGATAATGAATATGAAGCAGTAAATTGATTAGATCATCAATGTTGCTAGACTAGATTTAAGCACAAACACGAAAGGACAATGATCATCGAGAGACAGTGGGACGACACAAGGCGCCCGAGGAGAAGATAGACCATATCATAAAGAACAGGGAATGAAGCACGGACACCAGGCTGAAAAACAAGACGAATGGGTATTATGCGAACCGGCTGAACACTGGACGCCACGAGATTGCAAAGATCGTAACAGCATAAAGGTGAGATGTCATGACATATTTAAAAACGGTTAGTAGCCTGACCTCCAAGGGTCGGGTATCAACGAGAGGTCGTTGAAGCGCCTTCTAGGGCTGTTTACGTGGTATGGACGGACGGTTGTCATTGGTCTGAAGGCCTGGCAACGACCAAGGCATTGATTATATTGCCTGCTTTCCAACCCTGGTTTACCAGAGGTGTATTTTCGCGGAGCATCCTACCAAGGTAGACGATTCTTACCCGCTGGTCTGCAGGAATCTGCTCAAGTACGATGTTAGAATTCTGCTTGCTCGGTGAAGACTGGACAGTGAAAGCAAGACCTACCCCGGCCTCCTGCTGCACCCTGCGGGCAATCAAGCCCACGGTCTGGTTCTTGCCGACCGACACGACAACGTCCGATCCGCCGTCGCTCAAGCGCGCCGTGACCCGGATCAAGTCGCGCTCGCTTATCTTGCCCTTCTCGTCCCTGCGGTCTTCAGAGTCACCGCAAATTAGCTCGTCACCCGATGCGTCGTCCAACGACAGCTTTGAGTCGTCCGTGTCGAAATCGTCGTAGCCATCATCACAGCGACTGGCCGATTCCTCCTGCACCATGTTCTCCGGGTCGCTCACGATGCAGCGAGGCAGACGGTAGAGGGCACCCTGCTCATCGTAGCAGCCCTGGCAAAGGTCTCCCGTGGGCACAGTGACACCCGCCGCATCAATGATACTCTGCGCCGTGGCCAGGTCGTTCACATGCATGAACGAGATCGCCGCGGCCAAGGCTGCCCACACCTCTGCCCGACCGGTGACGCGGGTCTCGAAGAACTCCTTGCGCTCCTGGTCTAGCTGCGCGCGAGACCAAGTGCGCCGCTTGCTGTACCAGACATGGGAGCGGATTGGGGCGTTGAAATGCTCGCTCAGCGCTAACTGAGTGGTGGCCGTCGCTGGGGTGCGATGGTCGGCATGCCGACCTGCGCGGGATGTCGCCCTGGTCAGGGAAGTTGAAGGATAGCTGGAGATGATCGCATTCGTTGTTGAGCGAAGTGCATTTGAGGAGGTATCCGTGCGGCGCTCCTCTGTTACCCGGGTCGGATGGGAGGAATCACCGCTGTCACGCGACAGGAAGGACAAGCAAGAACCCTGGAGATGGTGGAATCAGACGTGTGCGTTTAGCAATATCGTGAGGACAAGAGTAATCGAGATCGATGAATCGATGAAATCGACAGCTACTGAGAACAGCGATGTGCAAAGGATTACAAGCGACAGGTACTTTCACGTCTACAGATCCCCAAGAACCAAACTGCGATAGAAAAGTGACAAACAGCAACAGTGACAAAGTTAACGTGGAAAAGAAGAAATGAAAAGGGGGAAAAAAAAGCTCCATGTTTACTCACCATGCTGAAGCGGTAGACAATACGACTCCATCAGACAGACAGGTAGATAGTGGATTAATCCTCTCCGTTAGAGAAGGGAAGCAACAGGACGGAGATACCTCTCAGACAATAGAGGAAGAGGAGGAGGAGGAAGGGAAAAGAATGCGGGAAAATATGGCACCAATAAGAATGAGAATCAGCAGCTAATGATGTTGATATTCCGTATTGGTTCGGCAACCAGGTTCATTGTCAGATATATTGATGGTTATGGCTCGTACATCGATCGGAGAACGGGGCGGGCAACGTAAGACTCGCTGGTGAGTTTGTAGTGGCGATGACGACGACGCGGCGGGTTACAAACAAATAGTTCCGGTTCAAAAAATTAGAGAATCAAAGCATGCGAATAGGATGTATTGTCACTAGGACGAGCTGAAGCTAAAGAGGGGGACAAAGCAGAGGATGGATGGATCTGATCCCCGTCAGTCGTGCATTGGCATGAGGAGGAGGGACAAGCAGGCGAGGAGTGGTCAGTTGGCAGCTGGCTGTTCTTATTTGGTGCGGAGATGCTGTCATTTATTAAAAGCTTGTCTGCGAACCGTGTATCTACATCCGGCAATGTCATCCACAGCATTTACCACCGTCTGGCAGCAACCAGAACCATGGAATAAACCGAGAGCTGTTCACCAGTTGGTTATCTGACATCGTTCAGTTCTATTAATAGCACTGTCATTGCAGCATTCCCGAATCCTTCTCTATCCGATATTAACCAGTGCACACAAAGGCTGGTGTAGATTACCACCCTCAATCTGCTTATTTTCAATTTATCTTCATAGAGCAAAATAGTTGCAATCATCCAAGGGCGTGTTGTAACATTCTGCGGTGTAACCACTCGTCTGATCATCATGCATTTAGCCACTGTGTTACATGCAGAGCACCAAGGATGAGCGGCTTAATAATTGCTCGAGCCGCGTTTTTGTTGCATTTTTACTAAATGGCCCGTCTACTAGGTGTCTCAAGCCTTAGCGCAAAGGCGTTCGGACAGTCCTTATAAACATCGTGGTTACCATATTACAGTCTCCGTTCTAGGTTAAAAACATGACCGATATGAATCACTCTTCCTCATCCTCATCGTCGCTACCAAAGATGGCCTTGAAGACCGCCTCGCCGGGCCTCTCAGCCTCAAGTGCTTCATTGCGCTCGGGTTCAATCACTACCTCCCTCCTGACTTCCGGCGCTGTCGCCCGTTCAGGCGTCGCAGTGTCGGATCGTGCTGTCAGTGGTCTACCGCTAGTTTCGAGCATGAGCTGGTCCATCACATCCTTCGATACGAGCTCTTTAGGTCCGGATGCTGTCTGGTATCCAGCAGACTGGAATCGATTGCCAATACCAGCCTCGGAGCCCCCTGGCTGCTCTCCCGGGTCGAACTGCACATGATCCGGTGGCTTGACATTCAGCCGTTTGCAAAGCAGCCGTGCGGGATAGAAGCTGTGGGTGCTCCGAGTCATCGGGCCAAACATACCGATCTTGGCCGCGGCCACGGCCGGGTCCTCAGGCTTCTCCGCGGGCTTTCGGAGTAGCGGTTCTGTCGACGTAGATGATTCCGGTTGATCGGACGATTCCTTCGGCCCCGTAGATGCTGAAGTGAAGCGCGAAGCCATTACCCCAGAGACAGGCTTGAACACCTCCGCAGCTCGAGCAAACTCGTGGAGTTCCGCAACCCATTCATCCGTTGTCGAGCCTGGTACTCGGTCTGGGAGTGTATCGCGAAGGCCTGCCCGTACCTCAAGGAATGTGCGGTACCGAGTCCGTTTGCCTTGATCTTCCGAATAAGGCATCCAGCCACTGACTGCCCGAGTAAGAGCCTGAACAGCGACCTGTTTGTCCAGCTTGGGAACAAGGTCCCACAGATCCTTGCGTCTTTGCGATTCCGATAATTCGAATCCCTTCGGTGCTTTCTCTCCCAAGGCTGGTGGTAGGTCTGTCTTTCCAGTAAGTTTCATGATCCTTTCGCGAGCCTCGGGGGTCATCCAGTCAAAAATCGACTTTCCGGGCAGCTGGGCCTCCCCCAGCAGCGCAGCTCGAGACGTAGGGTCGAGCGAAGAAGCCTTGGCCGCCTCTGCCGTGGAGACATAGTTCGAAACATCGCTTGCCGCTGACGGTTTTTTGCTCGATTTCCAGTCCTTTGGGATTTCAGGAGGCGCGTATCTTTTCTCTTGCGTAGATATTGAGAGACTGGAAATACCATCGGCTAGGAGAAAGCCGTCCAACGGGAGCCGGCCGTCATGACATTTTCGGAACCCCGCCGACGATTTTGCAGTGAGCGTCTTTTTTGATATGAAGACGGGCTTGTTGTTCACCAGAGGATTAGATGCAACAAGTGCCGGCTTAGACTCATCCGTAGACTTTTTCTTCTTCTTCTTCTTGTCACCGCCGATGACCCGATTGTACGAGATTTGTGGACCAATAGAGTACGGATCTTCGTCGTCTGATCCTGTGTCGTTCAACACACCGACGCCAAATGCGCCGCGCCTAGGTTGCTCTTTTGTCTTCGATGGTTTTCGTTGGCTCCCGGACGTCAACCGTCGCCCAAAGAAATCGTCTTCATCAGACTCGTCGGCACCGACTTTGTGAGAGTCCAACCGACTTTCGCCCGCAAACCCAAGCCCCTTGTGATCCGTCTTATGGACAAAAGCAATCATGGGCGAATCCTCCGGTGCGAAGAGGTACGTCTTATCGGCTTCGTTTTCGCCAGGGGCAGCGCCGTCGCCAAGATTGGCTTTTCGCCGTACTTTGGGGCCGATCCCTTGACCCTCTCGCCAACCCATCTTCTTCAGTAGCTTGACTCCCATCGTTTCACCTCCGGCCTTGAGAAGGTCCATCAGCCCTCCTCGGCGAGCTGCGTCGGTAGCAGCGGATCCAAACCCAGCAAAGTCATCACTGGTCTGCAGTCTTTTCGCCTCTTCAGCTTCTCGAATGTCCTCCTCGTCCATGAAGTCCTCCGGCCGCTGCTGGAATTTCTGCTGAGAGTCCTTCGCCCTGTTCTGGCGCGAGGACACAAACGTCGCAGGGGTCCATCCCTCCTTAGAACCGACGGTGTTGAAGTATCTGGAAAAGTCGGGCCATCTTTAGCCGTGCTGTTCAAAGCTATCCAGGAATCGTGGGCTCACCCGGCGCTGAAACCACCGGTGAAGGCGCCATGTAAGCGTTTCCTTCCCCGGTCATCTGTAACTTCCTGCTTCCAGATTGGTACATATGACCCGTCATCCCGAGTTCCCGCATCTAGAGGGGGGAGAGGCGTTCCGTAAAAGGCGTATGGGGAATGATGTGCTTGTACATCAGCCTCGAAGGCTGCTCGAGATCGTTTGCTCGACATTTGTGGGGTTTCGGAAAGCAGTGTGGATTGCGGTGGCTTCTTAGGTAAAGCTTGTTGTCATTATCGCTGGGTCTCTTGACGATGTTGTTAGCTCCTCCATCTAGGAAATTCTCAGAGACTAGAAACAGTGCACTACCTACCCGGATGTTGGGGCAGTTGAATCTAATTCCAAAGGACTATTGTAACTTCCAGGAAACAAGGACACAGCTGTGGAGATAAGGAAGGAAGCTCGGCCTTGGGTGATGTGCTTCATGGAAGTTCATCCTAATAGCTGAAACCATGGATGGGACGTTTGTCCAATCCGTACCTACGCACCGCCACCGTCACCTGCTGTGGCTTGGCACCGAGGTAAGTATTGCTCTGGGCTGTCTTAAATCACGCGGATCTACCAATGGCTAACAATTTTCTACTTGTCTAGATCTCGAAACCTTCTAGAGTTGTAAACTGAGAATGGCAAGAGAAACAGGCTCATTCAAATGCAAGATGACCTACTGTTGGATACCCTGTCGGACAGTCCTGCCCATCAGTGCCCAAAACACCAGCCTCCCGGCGGGAGAACCATTCTGATTCGACCCCCCGGATATGGGTGCACCAATTGCACGTGTGATAGACAGTGGGCTTTACTTGAAAAGGGTTGATGGAGACGCGATGGCTGTGGCCTCTGCTTGATTCTCGTAGAATCACAGTGACGGTCAAAGTTCCTCGCACTCACCGAGAAGATCGAGGTCATTGCGATTACCAAGCTGCATACCTCCCCAGTGTCCATCCAGAGGGGAAAAGTGGACTCTGAAACAGGTCTGCCCAGTGAGTCTCGGTCATTTGCCCCTGCATACTGTAGATAGACCCAGCTATGACATGGATGATGGTGATAGTCCATGCCACCAGCCAGGGATGATTGAAATAATAACCGAGAGAAGCACTGGATATTCAGAGAGAGCAGAATAATGATACTAGAGACGCGAAGAATTAATTAACCAAATGATCATAATAATAATAATAATAACAACTCAGTTGTGGTAAAGACGTGACAAACTTATTCCCTCATCTGGTTGCGGGCCCCCTTGGGGCCTTAACCTACTGCTGTTATTTTTATTAGTGTTTGGTCTGTTTCTTCTCCGCAGCCGCATCCATCACCATTCATTCTCGCAAGCTCCGTTCCCCCATCGTTTTCCTCCTCACCTCTTGCGACTTTCTCTCTTTCTCTGTCCAATCTCAACCTTCACTCATTTTACTGTTTCAACCTCTGCATCAAGGGTCGTACATGGGGTCATTTCGAGTTGTCTGCTGGACGTCTCGACGCTGGCTGCCGCTTCCTTGAGCGCTCGTCAGCAAACGCCAAATTCCCCCCCGCTCCCCGACCGGTCCAGATTGAAGTACTGAGGCCGTCCACTTGGGCTTCCTCTCTCTCCCTTTTCCCTTTCCACAAATCTTCCTGAATTTTCATCCTTGACATTGCTGGGCACGTCAAATCAAGACTTCTTGGTTGAGGCTTGATTTTCGAGATCTCTATCGTGATGACTACCAGTATTCCTGCATCAGCGTCGCCAACGGTCATCCGCAGCCATTCCACATCGTCTCGGCCTCACGCCCATCGCCCTCCTGCTTCTGATTTACCACATCGAACTCGAAGTGTCGCAGTCAGGCCGTCCACTTCTTCACACTCCTACCAATCCAATCACAGTAATCACAGTTACTCCAAATCCCAGTCCCATGACCGGCGTCCTCCGTCGAACCAGGCTGCTTTTGATAACATAGCCCGTCGGGATTTCGAGGGTTCGCGAGGCACCCATTCCAGCTCCTCCCGCCGAGACCAGTCCAAAGAGCGCTCTAGGGAGCGTCCGTCTTCCGCTCACCGTACCGATTCATCGCCCAGCAAACACCGGAGAAATTTATCGGTGCAAAGCCATCAGCGGGACAGTATAGATATGGCTTCAGCAGGTCCCGTCGCGGCGGAGCCGGTGCCCGCTCCCGCGCAGGCGGCTTCTGGTTCTCATTTACATCCTAGTGCATCTGTGCAGCCCAAGCGTCGCACAGCAATCACCACGCCGTCCGGCCAGTGGGCCCTTGGAAAGACCATCGGCGCGGGAAGTATGGGCAAAGTGAAGCTCGCGAAGCACATGGAAACAGGCGAACAGGTATTTTGAACGGAATCAACGGATCTGACCTTAACACTAATGGCCATCGCAGGTCGCTGTCAAAATAGTACCAAGACAATCGGCCGATGAGCACCGCAGCTCGCGCGACACCGAGAGAGCAGACCGCTCGAAGGAGATCCGAACCGCCCGTGAGGCTGCGATCGTGAGTCTTGTGAATCACCCATACATCTGCGGCATGCGCGATGTGGTGCGAACCACATATCATTGGTATATGCTCTTTGAATACGTCAACGGTGGCCAGATGCTCGACTACATCATCTCGCACGGTAAATTAAAAGAGAAGCAAGCGCGGAAATTTGCGCGACAGATTGCGAGTGCGTTGGATTACTGTCATCGCAACAGTATCGTGCATCGAGACCTCAAGATTGAAAATATTCTGATCAGCAAAACCGGCGATATCAAGATCATCGACTTCGGTTTGAGCAACCTTTTCTCTCCTAGAAGTCTTCTCAAAACATTCTGTGGAAGCCTTTATTTTGCCGCACCGGAATTGCTGCAGGCGAGACAATATACGGGACCAGAGGTGGATGTGTGGAGTTTCGGAATCGTCCTTTACGTCCTGGTCTGCGGGAAAGTACCATTTGACGACCAAAGCATGCCGCAACTTCATGCAAAGATCAAGAAGGGTCACGTAGAATATCCACAAGGACTCACTGCAGGTTAGTAAATTTTACCTCACTGCTTTTAGACGAACCCGATCTGTTTTAGAAAATGAGTGCCTGACTGCAACTGCTAGAATGCCGCCATATCATCTCGCGTATGCTGGTGACGGACCCCAAGCAGCGTGCAAGCCTTGCGGAGATCATGAACCATCCGTGGATGAACAAGGGGTTCAGTGGGCCACCCGAGAACTATCTCCCAGCTCGTGAACCTCTGCAACTTCCTTTAGATCCCGAAGTTGTTGAGAAGATGACGGGCTTCGATTTCGGGCCCCCAGAATATATCACAGCGCAACTCACCAAGATCATCGAGTCGGAAGATTACCAACATGCCGTGAGAACGAGCATCCGCGAGCAACCTCTTCCAGTTCATAGCGAGAAGAAGCGTGGCATGTTCGACTTCTACAAACGGCGGAATTCGGCCAGCAGAGACACACTCTCGGCTCCGTCGGTCGAGGCTGTCCAGCTCGGAAATGACCCTCTGAATGCATACAGTCCCCTCCTCTCGGTGTATTACCTAGTTAAGGAGAAGCTCGATCGAGAGAGGGCCGAAAGCAACCCCGGCGCTCTCGGCATCCCGCATTCTGCTGGTGACAGCCTGCTCAGGATGCCAGACTTACCAGCTCCCGAGGCGGCGCACACCAATCAGTATCAACTACCTGGTGAAAAAGATACGGGGAGGAGATCTCGTCCTCGCGCGAGAACTCACGGCGATGATGAACTTAATGATGGCATCAAGAACCTTCACCTTGCATCACAAGCAGGGCAGGCAACACATATTCCTGCTATTCCGCAGCCCGAGACTCCCGTGAAGAAGGAGAGCACCGCAGTGGGCATTCTCAGACGATTCAGTACGCGCAGGGTCAAGGATCGCAGTCGTGATCCCGAGCGCGAGCGTATCACCAGTCCTCCTGCGCCATCGCTAAGTGTCCAGCCTCCCGCCGATTCGGCTTCCCCACTTTCGAGAGGGTTCAGCATGCGGAGAAGCCGGCGCGCAGACCCCTCACCGTCCGGTATTCCCAGTGGAGGCAGCCAGCCGCAACACCAAGATTACCTCAAGGCTCCAGGATCGGCCGAGCCGGCCTCGCGATCCAACAAGTTCTTGGAGAGATCTACGAGTGTCAATTCGGCAGACTATCGTTCTCGGAGAGCTGCGCGGAGGAATGACCCCGATGCGTCGGATACTGCTCCCGATCGCCAACCGCCACAGACTAGTGGCTCTGACTACTCGAGTGGGCAGAAGGTAGAGACCCCTGGCAAAGAAGTGAAACAGCCCGGTCGCACACATGCCACGCGGACCATGTCCCTTGGCCACGCTCGTCGCGAAAGCATTCAAGCCCGCCGAGCGAGGCGAGACGCGGCAAGAGAAGCTAATGTGCCCGAGGAGACAGATGCAGACATTTCTGGTGCAGGAAATGCTCTGGAGAGCGCAAACGAGGGAGAGGACCTCTCTAAGCCGGTATATCTAAAGGGCCTCTTCAGTGTTTCGACAACCAGTAGCAAGCCGCTGCCTGTGATTCGGGCCGACATCATTCGCGTTTTGAAGCAACTTTCCGTTGACTATGTCGAGATCAAGGGAGGCTTCAGTTGCCGTCACGCCCCCAGCATTGAACTTGATAAAGTAGTGGATGTCGGCCCTCCGAGCCCTGATCGATCTGGCCAAGTGCCTAACCACAGGCGCCGTATCAGCTTTGGAGGGTTGCTGAACCACGATGACAGCAAGGAGGACCCCCGCTCGGTGCATTCGCCTCGATCTCAACGTCGGACTCGAGCCCCCGACCGGAGCTTTGTCAGTAATTCTGAGGGATCGGACGAATATGTGGCTCCCCGTGACAGCAATGCACCCACCGGAGACCGTGTCATGGGCGAAACCACGACGAGAGTCCAGAGTGACACGGGGGAGAATCTGGTTCTGCGGTTTGAAATCCTGATTGTCAAGGTGCCGTTGTTTTCATTGCACGGTATTCAGTTCAAGAAAGTCTCGGGAGGTATGTGGCAGTACCGAGAGATGGCGAAGAAGATTTTGGATGCTTTGAGACTCTGATTGCCTTGGTTACGTTCTGCAGAGCCAGGGCAGAAACCTGATTATGACTGGGTTTATTCAGCGTGGAACATGAAGCATTTATGCGAGCATTGCGACCTTCCCTCTTCTTCCACTTCTTTCATTGCTTTTACACCCTTATTACTTGTTTATTCTTCGATTACGCCTAGGCCGGCTTTACATTGAGCTGGCTCAGTCTGCAAATTCTTCTACTTGTTGTCATGGTGTACAATAGAGCTGAACAGGGATGCATCATCGATTACTGGAATTACCTTCCCCCTTTCTTCATGTGACTATTGATCATGGTTTTGTACATCAAATTTTTATGTCATGTATTTCCTCTGTTCAATCCCAATTAGCCCCATATTATCATCAATAATGTAATTTCCCTTTCGAATGCATTTCTCAGAGAAATACAAGAACTCTATCAAATTTTCGACTGTAGGGAACATACTGGATCAAGTGCGTTTTATGTATGTGGATGTGTGTATGATTAACGGGCGGTATTGTTGTCTATCTAGGCCTTACCCGACCCGGGCCTCAAATTCTGAGCAGGCAAGGCTTAAACTCAGGGATCGTTGGGGCTCTAATAGGCTACCCTCGGTGCCTCCGGACCTTGTAAGGCTAGCAGCGCCGCAGCTGTCAACTCGCGGCAAGCCTGCTTAGTCATCAATCCAGTGGATATCAATGCCAAGAATACATCCATATCAAACTGAGCAAGAAGAGCAACTTGCCAACAGACCAAGTTTGTATGGGGAACTTGCAACGACAATTACTCCACCACCAATGCTTGAAATTGAATTCTAAGAATTGTGCTTGAGTCAGCGATACTAGCTCTATATGACTATTTAATTTTTATATAGCTATTTCAATGTGGTGTTTTCGGTCAGTCAGGAACCTGCTTGGGGGTTTTGATGGGGTAAAAAGGGCAGAAAGCTGCTTTGATTTGGTTCCCGCAAGCTTATTTTGGGGTCTGACTTAACAGGCAATTTGACAGGAGCGTTATCCGCCAGCTCTCGATGCATAACACGATATTTTGTGCTAATTGAAGATATTGAAGAAGTTTTTGATCCTTTCAGATCGATTTGATCCTTCCAGATCAAACCCATCTGTATCTGAGTTTACCACCTATGTGACCCTCAAAAGATTCTCAACCAACATCTATAGCTATCTAGCATAATCTGATAGAAGTCCATGACTAAGCTAGCCAGATAGACATGACTAACCCAAAATAGCAACGACTAACCCCCAACAGGCATAGATTATTCACTTACCCACACTATCACCGCTAATCAGCTTATTTTGGAGTCTCATTACATCGTCATGTTGTTTCTCTCTCCTCCACTTCTTGCATATACAGATAGAAGGATCCCCTATTCTGCTACATCATTTCTTTCCCCCTTTTTCTGTTGTTGTCCGTTGCAGACTGCAGGCAGTTAGCAGCTGGCAGGGTTTTCCTGCCCTCTTCACCTCCTCCAATGACGGTCATCGACTTGACCCAGGACTCTGATTCGGAGGGTCAGAGGAGACTCGCTGTAAGTGCTTTATCAACCTCCGCAAACCCGCGTTCCATTGTTCCTTGGCCGCCTTCTTTAGCAGGCTATTGAGAGTGTTGCTGTTCTCAGTCTGGATGCAGACCCCTGAGCTACGCATTGAATATAACATACTATGCATGTGTTTGGGGATAATTACCGTTAATTCTAGCCTGTCTTTTTGTGTGTTTATTAAACCTGAAAACCTGTAGGTTGACAGGAACCTCTTGTGGATGTTATGTTGTGTTGGGATTTTCTTTGTTCTGCCATCGCCAGATTTATTGGGCGTCGTGTCTCGTGACTGGTTAGCTGATCTAGTGGTATAGGCACAAAGACAAAGCCAGAAACAGACACAACAGAGTCCGAAAACCACTTTCTTTTCGAATCTGACACATCGCACGCCATCGTCGTCGATACCGCTGAAAAGAAAGTCGGTTAGAAGCTCTGGCAGCCCTTCTCTTGCTGTGCCTAAGGCTAATCACTTGAGCAACAACAACATACCCCATACTGCGGACAGTCTGGGTCTTGGCAACCACAGAAACCCTATCACTTCTAACAGCAATAGTACCAACAACGCCATCACTAATGCTGATACCCTCAAATCTAATCATGTATTCATTCCAAAAATTCAGAATCCGTCTACACCAAGTCCAACCCCAAGTTCTCAACAGGAGGCAATTGGTGTCGTTATTCCTTCCCCCTCAAGACAGCTCAGAAAGGAGATTGAGAAATCTGATTGGATCAAAGCGCCCTCTGTAACGCCAGAGAAAACTGCACTTTCGACCGAGTATTATCCCATAGACGCTCATGAAAAGCGCGCTCTCAAAGGCGCCTACCCCAGCGCCCGGAAGGTCAAGCGTTCTGAGATTCGGTTTAGCATTGGAACGCCGGGCCCCATCCTGGCAGATAGAATCCCTGTACAACGCCAGCTTCACGAGACTCTACAACGGAAGTTGTCAAAGATCAAGGGCCCTGCCGTGACGTTTGCGCCTGGCGAGGAGGGCCTGCTCGCAGACTTTGCGTCAAACTTTGAGTTCGTCAATGCCTATATCCTCCGCAAAGGCGTCTCACATATTCCGGCGGACTTCATCGCGGGCTGTGATTGCAAGAAGATCTGTGATCCTGCACGGTGTGGCTGCCTCGAGCAAGACGAAGAGTCGAAGGAGATCATTGTGCCGTATCAGCGTGCGCCAGACAACGCACGGCTCCTAGTCCTGACCCCGGAGTTTCTGAAGCGCACAGATATCATCATTGAATGCAGCTCCAAATGTACCTGTGACGAGCAGAAATGCTGGAATCGAGTTGTGCAGCGTGGTCGTACGATCCGTCTGGAGATCTTCCACACGGGCAATCGTGGCTTCGGTAAGTTGTACAAAAGTCATCAATGCAAAAGAGTGCTAATGAGGCCAGGCCTCCGTTCTCCAGACTGGATCCGCGAGGGTCAATTCATCGACTGCTATCTCGGCGAAGTGATAACCAAACAAGAAGCCGACGTGCGCGAGGAAGTCGCCACCTCGCAGCACGGCCACTCCTATCTCTTCGGTCTAGACTTCTTCCACAACGACGACCAGATCTATGTCGTGGACGGACAGAAGTTTGGATCTCCCACGCGTTTCATGAACCACTCATGCAACCCGAACTGCAAGATGTTCCCCGTCACGCGGACCTACGGCGACAAATGGCTGTACGACCTGGCCTTCTTCTCGCTGCGCAATATCCCGCCCAACACCGAGCTGACGTTCGACTACAACCCCAATTGGGACGAGGGCAAAAAGGTTGATCCCAATGCGGTGCGATGTCTCTGTGGGGAGAAGAACTGCCGCGGTCAGCTCTGGCCGAACCAGCGCAAGGGCACCAAATGATTTTTTTTATTTCTTCTGCAATCTGCATAGCATGGCATGACATGGCGCTGCACCGCGTTGCATTTGAGCGAATCTATCTGAGCAAAGGGCTGAACTGGTTTGTTTAACCTGTTGACGATCTGTTGGCGCGGTTTACGGAGTTTCCTTTTCCTTTCATTTCACTCATGTTTGATTATACCCAAGCGGCCACTTGTTTCTTTCAATGTGACATTGATTTTCAGGGCATATCCCGCATGTACAATATCCGGAGAATACGTACATCTCTTCCTGTCGATAACAAGCAAAGCAGCAGCAACATTGTAATTCAACCCAATCCATGATATGTCCAGCGTACCAACATCAAACAAACAAACGACCACCCAATCCAGCGCTAAACCCGACTATTCACCCTGCTAAACGCCAACAGATGAATCCATAACGCAGTAGACCCGAACCCAACCCAAACTCCACCCGCGAGACGGAACAAACAACATAACCAGCGAAAGCCAATTAATCCCTCCCCTCCATAACCTCAAAAATACCCCCCATCACAAACCGCGGCCGAACAAATCCCCTCTGAGAATCATACGGGTGGGTCTGAAGCTGACTCTGCAAGGACGACCTGCCCCGGACGGCGTCAAGCGCCTGCGGGAACGCAGAAGACGCAAAAATACTCCCATCCATGGGCACGCGGTAATCGACCGGATCAACGGGTCTCGGCTCCATGAGATCCAGCCCCTGGCGCTCGATGGCGTCGCCGTCGCACCGGGTGCGTTCTTCGCTGAGCGCCAGGTCGACTTTTGAGGGGCGCCGGCGGAGAAAGAGCGCAGAGAGACGGAGGGGACTTGTGCTGCGGCTTCGGCTGGTGTTTGCGCTTATGCTTATGCTTCCGCTGCTGCTGGGGCTGGCGCCGCGATTGGGGTGGAAGAGGCGGAAGCTGAATGGGGAGGATGCCGATGGGGATGCGGAGGAGACGGGGGATGTAGTTGAGCGGTTGTTGGGCGAAGTCGATGGGAATGAGGTGGTGAGGGAGAGATTGGGGTGCATTTTTGCGGTTTTTCTCTATTCGGTGTCCCTTTGAATATGATGTCGGAGTGTAGGTAGATCTTGAAGTATGTCGGATGGCGAGGATGATGAGATGAAGTGCGGGTTGAGTGTCTCGCTGCTGACTTGTGTTGGTGTTTCACAGCTGTTCAGGCGCTGCTTGATATGTGCTGTTGATGTATGTATGAGTTGGCAGATATCAGAAATCAAGAACGTCTTCTATTGCTGTAGCCGTCTGGCAATGGAAGAGAGATAGAATCATCAATAGACGTGGACTAGAAAAGATCAGTATATCGCCAATACAAAGACCGAAGTGAAGTAAAGAGTGAAAAATGATAAGATGAGACAGAAATAAAATTAGAGCTGAAAGAACGAAAGATGAAACAAGTAAACTGACAGGTCATCTGTAGCGACTTCGTACAGCGTACTTAAGAATGAAACTGTCTCATCCAGAAACTAAAGTATAGAGGACCAACTTGAAAGCAGACTCACCCAACGCTTTTATAGATCGACAACAATCTTCAACAGGACTTGAATCAACTCGATCGCAGGGAGATTAAGAGGAGGAGGCAGGAGAGGAAAGAAAGTTTGACCACGATGTACAGAGCGAACCTTGAGAAGAAAAGATGAATATGGAATCTTCAAGATGGAAATGATTGACTACCAAGATAAGTCGATAGCATATACATAGATGCTAGATAGAACTGGCTCTGCAAGGATGCTTTCGACTAGCGGCGCGCCAGGGGGAGTTTATACTTGAAGGAATTCAAGACGAATGCAGCAGTTGGGAAAACACAATGATACTTCCTTTTGAGGACAAAAGCTATTCATATTCGTTTTTCTCTTCAAAGGTTCTTCATGTGAATGGGTGAATGCTATTGTCTGGAGGCTTTGTATGATGACATACGCAAACGGCGGATCGACATTCGAATGCCTTCTTCTCCCGACTCTCCCTATCCGGATTGATCTGCATACACGCAATAGAACAGGAACTTCCCCCTCAATAGTTTATCAACAATAATATCCGTTTCCGACTCATTGTCCGAGTCCGTCCATCAATGTCTCCCTTTATTGTCGATAAAGTTCGACTATCCGCTCTCAGTCAAGCCTTACTTATTGTTGCCAGGGGCTTGTGCGGAGAATCATTATCATTCTCCTACTCGCAGAGTCCAATCGTGTCTAGATCAGAATCCTCCGAAGAATTTGAGGTATTAAACTCCTTGATTGAGAATAATTATTGTAGTCGAGTATAAAAAGCATCAATTCACCCACACTCCACGGCTATGCAAATAACCAATAGCACAAAATGTCTATGTGCGAGACAAGACAAAAGAACAAGAAGAGTACAGGTTCTGGGGAATGCATCTCAAGGGATGGACACCTGAGGATGAAAGGTCTCTACCAACCAACCGACCAAGCACAAAAAAGACATGTAGATACCACACATTCGCACATCTATATCATCACAACCTCACTCACGTCTCAATCTCTTACTGTTGACTACCGTTCGATCGACGTTGGGTAAAGCTGCGCCGGATACTCTGGCCCCAGGCGGAATCACCCAACGACTGCATCACGTCCTGAACATTCATCGCGCTGTTCTCTCGCGAATGGTTCGATCCTGCGGGACTATTGGGCTCGTCCGGCCCGGCGTCGTAGGACGAGAGGGTATGCGACCGTTCACGGCTTTCTGGCGCCAGCGACGGACTGATACTCGACCACTCGGTCGGCGAACTGACATTGGACATGCGTCCGGTCAAGTTGGTGTCCAGCTGGGGCAGTTGCCGTGATGATGTCGGGCTTGACGGGCCTCGCGTCTGCGAGATCGGCGACAGCATCGGCTGGGTGTCCTCGCCTCCACTCATAACGGCGCCTCGGGCCCCCGGACTCAATCCACCGTCTACTGCCGCTGCCCCGGACTGCTCTTGGTAACCATCGTCCACAAAGATCTCCGGGACGGTGAACTGTGGTACTTCGGTCATTCGTGATGATTTCTTCGCGTTGACCTTGCGGCGGAATTCCCGCGACCAATACAGGGTGTCAAAGAAGCCGATCACCGTGTTTCGGCGCACAGCCTCCTCTACTCTCTGCAGACGCGCCCGACGGCGAAGGAATTCCTCTAATCTCAAGCTCTTGCTGTCGCTGATGACATTGTAATGAGCTAAGATCATCAGAACTGAATGGAAGGAGATGCCGCGCACTGGGTCCGCGGATACCAGCACCTCTTCGTAAAACCGATTCAGCCGTTGTCGTCGCTTCCGAACCGCCTCAACTGGAATCCGCCGCAGAATCCGGGACATTTTGTCGAGGTCCAGCCCTTCAACCACTCTTCTATGGGCAATGAGTGAGTCCCTTTTATCTACCCGACACTTCTCTAGAATCCGCCCAATCGTGAACTCCTCATCATAGATGCGCATGGCAAAGTTGCCGGAGAGTTCCTTATCGAGTTAGTTACTTTGCTAACGCTTGTTTGGGGGAGAGGACTTACGCCAAGCAGACGGGGGAATTGCTCCTTCGTGATATACCCAGTCCCGTCAGGATCGAAGGTCGCCCAGGCCTGCTTGAAGCGGCGAATTTCTTCACGGCTGATTGCGTAGAGCCCACTGCTCCGTTGATAAACATAGGAAAAGCTCTCGAAAATCAGCGAGACAAATAGAGACACAAAGATATACATGCTGATGATGTTCCACGAAATGAAAAGCGGCCGAGCCCAGGCGGCGCTGCCGCAGTCGTCATTGAAGAAGTCGCTGTCATACGTGCAAAATGGCGGCACCATCGTCGCAAAATCTTCCATCAGTTGGTTCCATCCCTCCCCACAGCTCATTCGAAAGAGAAGAATGAGTGCCCTCGGAATGTCTCGGAAATTGATGTTGTTCTTCTCATTTTCACCGAACTTTGTGAGGCCGAAGGCTTGGTTCAGGGCTATCGCATAGACAAGGAAAAGGACAAACCATGTAGCGAGCAAGTTCCCGATGGCCGTCAAACTGGCTGCGGCCGTCTTGAAAAGCTGATCCAACTGATTGTTTCGCGGAATCAGCAGGAGGGTGATAGACACAAGGAAAAGCTTGTTTAGCTCCACAATGACCTGATTCGTCTTCAGCAGATAGTTGAGAATAGTCGTAATGAAGGTACCAGGGACGGCGATTAGGGAGTAGAGATCCCAGGAACTCCTACTGAACCGGTGCCAGCCCAGTCCAAAGAGTCGTATGAGGACATTTGCAATATAGAAGAATGTGAAAGCAAAGAACAATGCCTCTGAGAATGTGTAAGTCAGCACATTGGAAACTAAGGTAGGAGGGCCAGACTTACGCCTTGTCAACTCCCACCAACGAGGTTCCGGATAAAATTCCAGCACAAGCAAGAGGAGATGGAGGACAAGAATGATAGTCACGCATCTTGCCCATCGACCATGTTTCTTAACGGCAATCCGATAGCACCATAACTTCCATTTACTGCTCTTGCGGTCGAGCGAGCGTTTCGACGGGGAGATTTGTCTCAAAAGCTTCCTCAACTCAAGCCAAGATCGCTGTTCAGCAGTTAAAAAGGCGACACCCGTCTGCTCAGTGTAGTTTCGCATGAACACAGACACGAACAGTGTCAGGACGAAGACGGCACCGAGTAAATTGAAAACAATGAAGAAGAGGCCGTTGGCTGGCGCTGCAAATGACTGTGGCTGCATGTCCTTCCCTGTAACACTCATAGCGCTGTTTTGTACATCAATCCAGCCCTCCTGAGAGACAATCTGGAAAAGGATGAATAGAGCATCCCCAAAATTGTCAAAGTCGAAGAAAGGATTTGATGCGACACGCGGCGCTAAGACGTTCCAATTGTAGGGTGAGCTTAGGTATTCATTGATGCACTGGTCTAGATTGCCAACTATACTTCCGTCATTGCATTGGACCATTTGTCCGTTGTAAAGGGTGACGCCGTAGATGGCAAATGGTATCAGAAAGCTGACCGAGACCAGGGCAGCCTAGAAAATGATTAGTGTGTGTCTTGCTGCGGACCACGAACAGGAGGCAAAGACTTACGGCGATGACTTTCCATCCACCCACGATGATAACTGAATGGAAGGTGTCCTTGGCACTGTCACTGACGTTCAATAAACGCAGGGCCCTCAAGGCTTTGAAAGCCCCAATAGCTCTAGAGACGCCCCAATCCCTGAACAGTGAGCTGCCCACGTTTATCCAAAGAGTGATCAAGACAATGCCATCGATGAATCCCCATGATCCACGAAAGTATGCATTTGGTGTCCAGAAAAAACCGTCCGCAATGACCTTAATAAGTGCTTCTATTGTGAACAGGATTGCGAAACCCGTATCGGTGTAGACATACCACGGCATAGCCTTGCCATGCCATTGTACTTGATAATTGCGCTGGTAGATTGGAGTGGTGATGCACGCGATCAGGACCATGGCAACAATCGCAGCGTAGACAAAAGCTGAAAATGTGTACCAGACCGGCTTATATGGATCCACTCCTTCGACACGCTGATGCCCGCGTCCCGGCCCAACGATGCGTTGACAAAGTCTCCTGACGGGATTGTCAGGCGCGAAGATAAACAACGACTTGTTGTAGTTCGGGTGTCTCATCAAATACTCTCGCTGTGCTCGTTTCCGCTGCTCAGCGGCAGAAACCACCTCCTTGGCCATTTCCTTCGGATCTAGGTCTTCGTATGCTCTAGAGAATTTCAGTTTGGAATAGAAGGGATTAGGCTCCCTGCGCAAAACAGACGTGGTAATGGCCGTCCACCACCGCGAGAACACGCCGGGGCGGCCCGTCTCTGCCGACGCGACAGCTGCAGCCTCTAAAGGCACATTGTCCCCTCGTCGACTTTCCATAGGCGCTTCTTGCTCATCAAGGAATTCCCGAACAACGGCATCTTTCAGTAGCATTTCTAGGGCCGCTGGTCCATGATCAAGAGGATCCTTGTAGCGGTTGGAGTTTCTGCCCAGCATGAGGATCTTCGACAGGGATAGGTTCCCCTGAGAAGTACCGCTGGC